GCAAAAGACTTCGTGAGAGGTATTAGCGATGAAACAGTGTGTAGATAAATACCCTTAGATCCTGTTTATGTTGGGATGTCGAATTTCCGAACATTCGATGCTTATCGAATTTACGAATAGTCTCTTATGGAATTCTCGAATATTCGGTGTCCAGAATATTCGAATATTCGATGGACATCGAATGATCGAATTAATGACCATCGAATATTCGACTTTCGAATATCGAAAGTTAAAATTCTTAAAATATTCAAATTTCGAATTTTTATTCGAAATCTCAAATTCTCGAATATTCGAATTTTCGAGTCGTTCGCATTAGAACGATTTATTCGAATATCGAAATTCATTCGATTCGGTCCAAAGTATAGTATAGTTGTAGGATGGAGGATGGGAGCATGACTAATTTTTTCCGCTCAAAACCCACTGTTCATGCATGTGTGTTCTTTTGTATCGATTCTGGTAAGGAAAATAGGGTTAGCACTATTAATCCGGTTCTTTATAACGAAAGATGTACCCATAGCAATCCATAGTAGCTACTAATAACTGAAATTGCATCCACCTCCGAAGTTTTTTTTGTAACCAAATCACCCCATTTTCAGGTGTATAAGCCGCACCCTTTTTGCTCTAAACGCGAGCAGACCCAGGCGTGCCGCCGCGCATATGTTTCGCGGAGCGGTCGCCTTATCGCATACTGCTCTCCATACCCTCGATACATAGAGCCTCGTACTCTGGTAACCTTCACTTTGAGGGCTATGAGGGACACAACCTTCACCTGAAAAAAAAAACAGAGGTCTCCGGGGCTTCGCCGATGTTATTATCCTGATTATATCGGAACGAATGTTAATGAAGCAAATGTAGGGAAACATTTTTTAGCTTATTTCAGCGAAACCGAGAATTTGCGTTTTCATGGCCTTTTTTACCTTAAAAAAGGTTTCTGTGGGATTTTCGCCAGAAATCAAAACAAAATGTCTTAGTTAACCTCTCATTTAAACAAAATCGAGTTTCAGAGGTTTAGGAAAGCTGTTAGAGTTGAATATAAACGAGAAACTGCGCTTTAATTTGCGCAGAGAGTCGCGCACGAAAGCGCCAATTTATCTCGTTAATGAGTGATTTTCAAAGTTTGGGACGTTGTCAGTTCTCCTCGTCGTGTTATGACGATCAGAATCATATATAATGTTGCAGGGTTACGTTGAGACTCCGCGGAGATCTACTACCAGAGCCAAATGCCCCGTCGGCTCTGGTCTGTCTCCGCTGCCAGTCTGCGTCTCCGCGCGCTGCGCGCTACATCGCTACCTCAAACGCGGGGCGCGGGGCATTTGGCTCTGGTACCCTTTTCTTCGCTGTTTCGAACTCAAATTTAGCAAGCTATATATCATTTTGAAGCTCTTGATCTCTATTTTCACGCTAACAACGTCCCAAAACCACATTTTTTTGATTTGGTCGAGAAATCCGGCAAAAACCTTGTTTTCGAAAATCTCTTGTGTTTCTCCCAGTTTTACTCTTTTCATGCGGTTTTTTCGTGCATTCTATAGACCTTGCTTCTGTTCATAATGCAGACAACCACCCAGCCCTTATCTCTTCGATTATGGTGGAATTTTTTGCGAAAAATCGTAAAAAGTGCGTTTTTCTTTGCTTTGCTCTATTTCAGTGCTTTCGCATCGATTTTTTCCAGCTTGGGCAACTGTTGCTCAGAACAATAAGCGCAACAATCCAAACAACGTCCCAGGAAACAGGAAAGTCAATGAGGGGGTAAAAACTTAAAGGACGCATCAAAAATCAGAACCCCGTGTTGTGAATTGCTGGTCCTGGAACGAAAACTTGCACTCTAAAAAGCAGCCAAATGAAAGACTTCAAACCTTTTTGCAGCGTTTTTATCCGGTTTACAGCGGTTTCTTTTGCTTTTTGTATCTGTTCTACGTCATTTTCTCTTCTCTGATCTTCTTTAAACAACCTTCACTATTTATTATGTCAGATGTTCAAACAACCTTCATTTTTGGCGCCCTGTCTCTAGACTATCGAAGGTATGCTGCTCTCAGCGCGCTCCATGAAGACAGTCAGTCTTTTGGCATGTTCGCCTTCAGAGCGAAAAGGGTGCGGCTTATACACCTGAAAATTGGGTACCGTATAGAAACGGCCATAATATTGAGTTTTATTCTAGAATACTTGTAACATACACCTTACTTCTGCATCATTCTCCTATATGGGCAAGTCATCGACAGATACTAGACGCAAAAATGTCCACCAAATTAGTTCTTCTTGAGACAGCACAATAGGAGACACGGAAGTGCAACGGCCCCCTGTCTCTGCGTACGACGACTCCTCATTAATCGCTTAATTAAAGGCAAATCAAAAGTAGTGCAATCCGCGAAGTGTCGATTAAGATCGTTTACTATGCTCTTCTGCACCGCTTCTTTTCTTGGAGCTATCTGCTCTGCCCCGCGGCAAGGTCGCGCATTCGTGCGTTGTGTATTTTTTCTTTTTTATTATACTCATTATATTCTTAGTTCTACTTAAATTTTTTATCTCTTTTATTTATCTAATTGTTTTTATATTTTCTTTGTTTTCATTTCGCTCAGTACCTCGTATCAGTACGGTTCTGCAGTATGGCCATGTACATGCCTTTGGTTTGGCTTTGTTTATTTTCTTGGTGAGAATTTCAGATTTTTCCTTCATAGATAAATTTAGCCTACTCTGTAAATGCATTATATTGTAAAAAACTGGCTGGAGTCAGATCTTGTGTTTCAAACAATTTTGTCAGCAACATATTTTTTTTTGAAGCTGAATTTGGGAAATCCAAAACACATTGTATCCTTCTGACAATGAGGTATCACGAAGACAGAATTGCTGATTATCTTTTGCTGAAATCATCCGCACGAGGCATCGCAGAGAACACGCTCCAGTAATTTTGTCGCACCTTGTTCATCACACACTGCGCACTTGTAATCTTCAGAAAAATTTTTCAGCACCGGTTAGTTTCGCTAAGCAGGAAGACGGTGATGGTGACAACGTGACATCTTGAAAATGCATATGTATTTAGAAAGGCACCTTTCTATGTAGTGTTGAAGCATTCCTCTTCACTCATGCATCGAGACTTTCCTTTTTCCCCCCTCCCTTCCTCCCATCCTTTGTTATTAGAAAATGACTATCAAGGCTTCAGAAGACATTAAGGATAACGCTGGCGAATGATTGAAAGCGGTGTAGCGCCGGGTGGCTTTGGCATTGGGATCAAATTTCGCCCAAAGTCTAAATTTGAGATCCAAACGAAATTTTCTGCGTCTCCACTACACAGCCGCTCTCTGTCTCGCTGATATTGACTTTAAAGAAAAACTCTAATGAAGACTTCTTGCTTGAGATTATTCGCCGTTGATGGAGAGCATCTAGCTGGATCGGGCGCCAACCACTGCTTTTGCAATATCCAAATGCTGTAGTGGTCATTTGTTTTATCGCTAAGTTTTTAACATAAGAACAAATTTTACTTTCACAAACTAGTCACTTTTTAGAAGCTATTGCACTATTTCATACCTCATAAGGTTTACCCTAGTGTTAGCGGCATGTAGAGAGCTAGAATTTACGGCAAAAATTTGATTTCGAGTCTCACGTCTTGAATAGAGGCTGACATTTTTGCACTTAAATTTGACTGAATTGCTCAACCTTAATTAAAGGGAAAAGCTCCTTGAGTGTTTTATCACTTTTCCGGCAATATGGACATCCTCTTCATTTGACAGCGCATGAAAGAGGGCAAATCTTACACAGTCAGTCTTACCTATGCGGCTTGACACATTCACGACAAGGCCGATTATTCGATGACTGCCATTTTGGATCAGAGCATATTTCGCGTTATTGAGTTTGCCTAATTTTCTGGTTACGGATGGGTCGTGTGGTCTGAAGTACTAACCTTTGGGAAGTATTCCAAGAGGTATATACAGGAGTGTACTCATTTTGCCTAAAAACATCGCAAATATACTAGCAAAAACAACAACAACTTCAGAAAGCATATCGCCCACCGGTGGGTCGTATTCTCCGAAATGACAGGACACGTACGACCCACCCGTGGGTCGTATTGCCATAAATGTGTTAAGCTTAGTTTTCTTATTTTCACCTTTCTTCAGTAAGTACCGCTTTACCTATACATAAGGATGAAAGTGGGAAAGAGTCCGGTACATAAATGTATCGCACGCAGCAACAGGACACCACACCACTGCGGACGGTGTCGGCGAGTCTGATTGTGAGATCAAACGCACTCTTACTCTTCTAAGCGTCTGCTGTCATTCCCAAGCACGACTATTTCGATTGGACGAACGGTGTCCAGTTTTTGCGCGTGTTCGATTGATTTTGCATGAAAAATACGTTTATTTTGAGCTGTTTAACCTTTTCGGACCTGGATTTTTTCCTGTACCACGATAGGCCTCATTCCTATTGTTTTTTACTTATTAGCATATGAATAACATTATAACAGAGTTTGGAGCCTTTCCGACATCCATTCCATTTCTTTTCAATTTTTTGATTTTTCGGTTTTATATTTTTATTTTTCAAATTTTCTCCAATGCATGTGGAGCGGCAAACTGTTAGCAACTTGATATACAACATCGTACTCAAAGCTTGATAATATTAAGGAATTTTTGGTTAATGAATGAGATTACTGACACGGTGCTGAAGCCGGAGCAAGTTTTGATTGGTTGCAAGTCACTTATTTACAGAAATGCTTGTTTTGCTGACAGGAAATCAAACGAAACGTAGTTTCGAAGCTATACTTGGAAGGCAAAGGCTATCTGAACAGATCTATAGCAATGAGCATTGAAGTTATGCTCTTGCGCCAGCACAGCAGGTCTCTGAATTGATGGTGGCAATTGCCACTACTAAGTTCATCGTAGGTCAACGGTCGTAGAGAAAGGCTCGTTGAAATCATGATGAGTTTCCTTTTTTGCACTGTCCTGCTTTTTTGTACGCAAATATTTGTGAAAATTACTCGTTACATATTTATTCAATCCAATCATATTTTCCAGCTAAAATATCTAACTGGCTTTGGCAATGAGTTCGCTAGCACCGACCCACGCGTCCCAGACGCGTTACCAGTTGCGAGAAATTCACCACAGGTAGGTTTTGGTTTCTCTTACCCATTAAATCACAAGGTACCTCACAATCGCACACGCCATTAGCAAATGAAGAGAACCAAAATTTATTATCAGTGTCTCCTTTATGTGTACCTTGATACTTTGCATAGAATATTCGATAGCATGTATGATCCGGAATATCTGATGTGTTCGTGCCAATGCATCGGGACAACATTTGTGCGGCAACATATAGTCAGCTTTGATATCCCACAGCTTGAGCGCCACAAGTGGCAGTTGAGCGTTTTTTAAATGTTGTGCTCCACATCCAATTTTAAGCGCAAGTGTTGTCCATTACATAATGGCGCCCCATTGACTATCACATTGAAAAATCCTCTTACCAATATATCCTCTGACATTCTAAGCGCCGAAGAGGCGTTCTGAACAGTCTTCATAGGGTGCACAATTACGTGACGTAGCTTTTCCCATACATCCTTTGGCAATATGGAACATTTTTGGCATTCAGGTATGCCCTCATGGTCTTTACGCCGAACAGTTGAGTGGCACCGCATTCACAGTACCGAGAGCTAACAATAAGAGAAGGTATCGAATTTGAAACCCATTAAGCAAATTTGTATGGTTTTCTGAATTTGCACAACTATTTTATCTTTATTTTGCGAAAGATACCCTTATTACACACGACTATGCATGACTTCCAAACACAGGCACATGAGGCAAATTGCTGCATCGTATTTCTGGGGCCGGGCATACAACACGCGATTTCATCGCCGCGATTTCTGTTCGTCGCGATTTGCTGCAATAGTGACGAAATCGCAGCGACTAAATCGCTATTTTGCTTATTTATGGGCATACATCTGCGGCGATTCATGAATCCTCCCACTTGAGCACATAGTATATCTTTTCAAACTACTTATAAGTATTTGTATCACATTCGGCTTGATTTTTTCATTTGTATTTTTTTGTAGTTAGTCCAGAATCTCCAACCGCAGAATTACATTAAAATTTGACTCTATTCTGGTATCTGGGCCTCACTGTTTCAAAGTCGCGGATGTTGCTCAAACTCGGTTCAAAGGACCCACGGATGCCAAATATCATAATCATTGTGCCTGGCAAAACGATATTTTCTGGGGCCACGGTAAGAACGTAAGGGTACAAAGCCATAGATTTGGCTGGAATTCCGTCTAGAGAGGTTATTCAACACCAGTGCGGCACCTCTGCTTCGCAGAGGCTCGCACTGGTCCCACCATCTGTATGCTTTACTCATTCCCACAATAATGACATTAAAACTCACCGAGCTATGCAGACTATCACGAATGATTTGTAAACAACCACTCATTTCTAAAGCTTTTTCATGTGAGATCGGTAATTTCGCGCGGATGAAATCTAAAAAATGCAAATTCAAATCGGTTTATGGACCTCCTATAGCTTGGTAGTCGCCTCAAGGACAATAATTACCGTGGGCCACATCTCTCTGCAAAAACCTTCACAAATGATCAGGTAAAATCTTGGCTAATTGAACATTTACACGAACAATTTTTTTTTCGCCGTTTTCGTAAAATAATAAACTTTTGATCATTTTTTGGGCTAAAGTCTAATGCTTGCACATTCACTTGTTATACACATCCATGACTCTTGCAAAAAGTGGTGCTACTGGCCCAATTTTGCTGGCCAGAACCAAGTGGATCCATTTGATGCGTAGGTTTTGAGTAATCCACTCAATGGATCCACTCGCGCTTCTGTGTGGTGGGCTTTCATGCTGCTAGCATGCGCTATGCAATTTGGGCTCAAGACGTTGGCTGGAACATACTCTACGAATTTCGTAACGGACAGACAGACAGTAAACAACCCTTAGTCCGTTATTATAAGTCATGATGCTGATTACAAAAATCATAATCACAGGGTTGGGGAAATGTCCTTGAATATGGGGTTTTTCTTGTAAGAAGCTAGGCAAGATGATTACATGAAATCAATAAATAATGTTTAGTCAACTTGTTTGCTACGTGAAAGTGACTTCACAATTCGAAAATCTCTTCTCTGACGCGAACACAAGCTTGGAAACGCTTGGAAATGCCGTCCATGATGAGACGGTGCTCTACGTCGACTTCCTCCCACGCATTCTGAAGAGCACGTCGCAGCGACTCCACACTCTTGCGTGGGTGAGCGCACGCTTTGGCCTAAAGAACTGACCACACGCTGTAGTTGAAGGTATTCAGATCCTGCCAATATGGAGGGCACTCCGTAAGAGTCATGAAGTCCTTAACGTTGCTTTGGAACCATGCTCGAACAACCTTCGCTTTGTGCGCAGATGCGCTATCCTGCTGGGAGCACCAATCGCTCCCGGCAAATGGGTGTGGTCCAGGCCAACTCCTTCTTCAGGATGCTATCCACATGCGTAGCAGTGTCCACGTTGATGCCCTGAGACCCTAGAAATCAGCGTCATCTTGCCGTTGATAGCGATCGCCGCGCAAATCATCACAGAAGCCAGACGAAACTTTCCTTCTGCAAGTCAAACTTTGCTATTTGCTTCTTGGGGCGATTAGGTGATAATCCTGTTGTTTTGACGATCAAAAACCTGCCTCACGGTGAAGATTTTGACGTTGAAAAAGAGTCTTGTTCGGTGGCGTGCCCTGGAGAGACGTTCAAGCAGTCAGTGGCATCTGCGTAGTCAAATTAGCTTCATGTCTTTTCAAAAAGCATGAATTTTTAGCATCGTGAAAAGCTTTATCCCAAGGCCCTGCTCCACGATGTCGGAGACTGTCCTGCCAGAGGTGGACATCTCTGAAGCCATCTTAATCTAGCTTCGCCGAGGACTGCGACGATGGCGTTGGCGAACGATCTTCTGATTTTTGTGAGTGTCCCCTGGGTGCTGTTTATATCCTGGAAACGATGCAAGGTGGAAAAGACGCTGATGTGTGAAATTTGAGGAACCCGCAATCTGCTAGTTAACCATCCTCTCCTCGTGCATATTCGCCACAAACGCTCGCTCCGTTTCAGAAGGATCTCCGATAGGAAGAAGCAAAGACATATAATTATCATACAAGAATTAGTGGAAAATCCGAACATACAGTGGCATCAAAAATTGTTCAAGGACTTCCCCCAACCCTGTACATTGCGTTTTGGGACATAACGTGGATTTGTGGTGAGTATATGGTAGGTATCAAATAGATTTGCCGCATCTTGCAGTGAGGTTATTTGATGTTCTGATCAAGAATATTGTGTTCGTATCGCATGATGAAGTCTTTACTTTTTGTTCTAAGTTGAACCAAGAAAAAATGCTATTGGTGTGAGCGGTAAAAAATGGGACGGCTTGATTTTCATTATATTTTTTTTTGTTCGAGCAACAGCAAGTAGGCTGCAACTCAAATGTCGCACATGGGCGACCTTCGCCTATTATTCTGACAACGCGTTAACGCTCCTCTTCCACTACCCTACGCGTGGCGCCCTGAAGAACTCGAACAGGGTTTTTGGGACATCGCTCATTCTTGTGCTGCTATACCCTAAAGTCGTAAAGCAAGTGACATACCATTCGAAAGAGCTCTTCATGCTCTTTCAAACAATATATTAATCATACAGGGTTTCTTTCTATTTCTGGACAAAAAAAGCGAATTACCTGAAAAATCGCGATTTTTGACAACAAATAGCAACCAAATAATAATAAATAGTGCAATAATAAACCAAAAAATCATGTTTTGCCTTATATTATCCGAGTATAGATAAAATCTGAGGTAATCTGCACATGGATGGATAGAGCGTAAAACGCTCTATCAGATGGTACCTAGAAAACATGGGTTCACCTGCAAAGAATCGAATGACGCGTATCTTTGTTCTCGAAGCTGCTAATGGCCACCTCCTGGCTTTGAAAGTTGAGGCCATCAAGCCGTCTTGGGTTTAGTGACTGTCCCACCCCACTCCAGCAGTGGTACTTTGGGTGGTCTCACATGTTTCATTGCGCAGATACTGCCCAAAGTTTATAATTTGTCAAAATGACTAACTTTGCACTTCAGCAAGTATAAAAGTTACTAGATGTGTAAATGACCTTATATACGCACTGTATAAAAGAGAATAATCTATATATATATAAAACTCAAAATTGTGAGTTTGGAGGCTATGTGCGCTATAGAAACGCGCACCGCTCACCCGATTGGGCTGAAAGTCTGTACACAGATGTTTTCGACCCCTGCGCAGATGATAGGCTACTTTTTGCGTCGATTCGTTGGGTCCTTCTCTCGATTTATTGATTTCTAGCACTTAGCAGTGAAAATGATTCTTATCATCTGCTATCAAAGCAGAGGCATGTAAACAAGGCCGGCATGTTTCATTGTAGACTTCTGTTGGCGAAGTGCAGTAAAAAGGTGCTTTTGATGTGAATTTCAATCGTTCGATCAAGTGAATTTACTCTATATCTTATGCTGCGGTCTACCTTAGCGTGCAAGTGACCAAGAGTGCTTTGTAGTGAGTGTGCTGCACAAAGACGTGTTCAAGATTGTACTCAACGCTTTCTTCGTCATTTATGCTGCGATCAACCTTAACGTGCAAGTGACTAAGAGTGCTTTGTAGCGAGTGTGCTGTACGAAGGCGTGCTCAAGGTTTTACTTAACGCTTTTTACGTCACATTTCACTTTGAACAATGAAACGGTTAAGAGTTTTCACAAGATTGCGCTTAAATTATTTGGCATATCAAAAATTTCCGAAAAGACCTGAATGCCTGTTCACATAATGTAAAATACTACTTACTTAGTCATAGTCAAGCTTGCCAGAAAGATGTTAGACATCGGAAAACAGCTTCAAATAGTGTGGTGAGCAAAGCGAGTGACCGATCTGCAGCAAAGCAACACAAAAAATGCTCATCATTGAAAGTCATGCTACTCATCTCTCCTTTGCATGTCAAACCGCAATGCTTTATCTGTAAAGTCCCCGGAGTTGTTTTTTTTTCGGTTTCGAAGCGGATGTCCCAGTGTAAGTAATCCATGACATATAAGTGGGGGAAGGGCTCGCAGTGCAGGTGAACATTAGCCGGGGCTGGACCGGGAAAGCCTGACTAGTTTATTCTAATATCCATCAAAATTGGAAAGTTCAATTACTTTTCTTCCTTGAGAAATCTGCAATTGTTCTCAAGGTGTCCCATTTTTTACCGTTCACCCTAATAATTGTTGTTGTGGTTGACACAGATTGCGAGAAAATGGCGCTTTCTTGAGTAATCAAAATTTCCAAGCCCCAAAAAGCTAAAAACAATCATAAAAACTCTCAGAGAAGCCCAATCTCAGCGATTAGGCCGCATCGCTCGTTCAAAATCAGCGACGCGGTAGCGATTAGTTGCGTCGAGTGACTATCACAGCCGAATGGCAAGATCAGCATGCAATGGACTCGTAACAGTTCTCTTGCCGGGAGAATTACGAGGCGATGAAATTGCGTGATGTATGCCCGCTCTTAAGCTATTCGCGCGAGACGGCGGTTGCGTATGGAAGTGCTTTGAAGACAATGGCTCGGGAAAATTGAGACTGTGTGTGTTCCATCCTTCCTTGGTCACGTGGATGCGCTGAGACCAGTACTGTTGTTGAAATCTCCCAGAGTCGTTGTGCTTT